ACTAAAGTCCCTCATCTTCATCTAAAATATATTTAAAAATTATGCTTTAGAGAATGACTTCAATAGTTAGAATGTTGAAAATACATAACAGAGTTCAATTAAAAGACTACTGCAAGTGAATGTGGAACTTTACAGACGGTAGAGTCTCCACACTTGCAGTAACTAACGAAATGATACCCATGTTTGAAAGAGCGCCTCTGAAAGAAAAGTTAGTTAGGTGTGCGAATAATTAGTAGCGATCAAATGCTAAACCCAACAAATAATGTTTAATTTTAAAAGTAAAAACTTAATAATCAAAAACCCACTTCATAAATCTCAGCTAATCTTTTAACAGTGAGTGAACCATGAAATGCGTTGAAAAAAAAAGAATGAGCTACTTTCCTACGTCTAAATTACAGCTTTTTTTTTACCAATCTCAAAATTATTATTCATCTGCAAAAAGCTTTAAAAAATATAAAGTGAATAACACAAAAAACCGTTTGATACAACATTATAAAGAATACTCATAATATTGAGTAAAACTTCAAATATCTCCACCTAATAATTCCACAAGGAAGAGCAAGATAAATCGAAGCTTTATCTGCGTACTGTTTCCCTTCAGCAAAACTTATCAATGCAAAAAAGCGATTGTCTTGGACGACGTAAACACCCTAAATGTTGATTCTTTAAGTTGCAATTCAGGCTAAAAATCCAAATAAGTGTTCGAATAAAAATTAACCTGGTGATTTGTGCGCAAATTGTCCACTTGTTTACCAAATGAAACTGTCCAGAATTCCTTGCATAAAAACTTCATTTTATCTAGTTCGCTATTGAACCTAAAATATGACAAATTAATACTATCACAAATAAAACTGCACAAAAAAATCCTATGTCTATAGAACCTTTGAAGAAGATTTGTTATTCAATGAAATCCTGTTAAAATATAAAGCTTTCCAGAAAAGAGAAGCAGATAAAGTACATCAAAGTTACGCAAAAGACAAAGCTAACTTAATAACCTTGGTAAATCCTTTGCAATTTTCTCAACTAAAATCAAACCAACGCGATAACCAATATTTTCCAACCGTGTTTCTGCATTCCCCTGAAGTTTGAAGTTTACTTAAAGAATCCACTTCTGAACACTCCTGGAGCAAAATGACCTATCTTATCAAAAAAGAGATTGGCAAATTATTTGATTACAGATGACAATTAAGGGCTGACCAACTGAAATGCAATGAACAGGAAATCAAAGTCTCGAATCTATGTGGTATGTGAAATTTGTTTTCCCTGCAGGTTCTATCATAGCAGAATCTTCTAAAGAAAGGAGTGACGCAGCGACAAGGAGAGAGCGATAGTTGCAGAAAACAAAAACCCATCTAAAAAACCCAAAATTTTGAGCACTCAAACTAGCACAAAGAACTACAGTGTCAAAGACAAATACAACAAAACAACAGAGGAAGACTTACACCTGGACACTAAAAAGCAAGGAGGAAACCAAAGGTCTTTTCTACCAGAAATAAGTAAGGGATTGAAAAAACTAAGCTGTTGCTTAGAGGGTTATTACATGGAGAGCTAAAGACTGTGAAGAAACAAAATGACAATGTCTGGACCGAAAGAAAATCAGATATCGTTTCAACTACGTGCCATTCTGCTTGCTGATAAAACCCTTTTCCAGAAATTGTTAGTGCAGAAATTTTGAAATCGATAGATGCTTACTCATTTATAAAACTCTAGATGCAGAAATGTGACGTTTGTGAGTATTAAAATCTCTAAAACATTCCCAAAACTATACTCTGATAAATCCTCTATAAACTCAAAATTTTTTTTCCAGAAATTCTCCTCAAAAACCGCTAGCCTGCGGTGCGTGGTCTTAACCAGTCCGGCACATCTGCCAAACAGTTCATCACTTGAACAAATTTGTGAGTTCCATCCCTACCAACGTTGTCACATAATAATGTTGTGCCTTGATTCCGTAAAATTTGAGAGGAGATTGCCAACACTGTACATAAACACTTAGTGTTGATACTTCGTTTCACACGACAGCTAAATAAAAGTTCAAAACGTTGAAATGTAATTCTAATTTAGACAAATACTAAGATGTTTGTGATGACACTTCAGTTTGTCGACCCCAAATTTTCTATACTTCGCAGGAAGGTAGTTCATTGAAAAAAGAAACCAAAAAATAATTTTGAATTTAACAAACCTGTACAAATACTTGTTTCGCCACCTCGAGCTGGTCACCAAATGCTAATGTGTCAAGCTGAGACTGCTCTTGTACAGCCCCTAACCATTCCTCTCGTTGCTTACTCCGCTCTTCCTAAACAGTGCTTCTCAATTAGAAAATGCCGTAGGAGTCTCAATGAAATGTACAAATAATGACTTCTACACTTACTTCCTTCATAGATCCACTAAAAAGAGTGTTGATGAACGGTAAGAGGCTTAATAACTAGGAATCAAAAATAGAGTACAAAAACACAATCGCCGGGAAAATCGTACAAGAATCACTTAAGCATCAATTCAAGACGCAAAAACCACACCACCACTTCCGCTACAAAATCCAAAACAGTTGTAATTGGATGTTCACACACCAAAGAGGAACCGCGGCAGAAAGAACCAAAAAGTATAAATTCTTTCATATCAAAAAAAGGCGTCTAAAGTTGACCAACACTTGCCGTAACAAAAATAAACTTTGAAAGAATCATCGCTAGAGGATTCCTAAACTTTTACGGCCCAAACAGTGCACGACCAAAAAATGTTAGCATCAATCCCTAAAAATCTGCTCACCTCCTTTTCCAGTTCATATCGTATGATTTCTGCGTGTAAAAATAGGAACAAGGAAGACATACCATGAAAGATTAC